ACTGGCATAGTTGCCCCACTTCTAGCATATGTTTTTGGAATGAGAAATAGTGGAGAAAATCAGTAATATAACTTAAAAGACTTTTTTAATCTATGCATATAAGTAATTGTGCTCTGAACTATATTTATGAACCACATGACATTAAGACTTTTTGTGCTTATTCAGCTATTAATCATCCTGTGTGTGGGTGTGTATAAAACTATGATGTAAAAGCAGACTGTGTAAGTAGGGCCCATGCCAGAGAGACATTGCAGAAGATACAGACTGTATTGCAAGCCCTGAGCTAAGTCATCCAAGGAGATCTCATGGGGCTGAAAGTGTCTGTGGTAAAAACCCAATGCTGCCTTGTGGAGTCTTTGGGAAATACAAATGGGAAAGTTTCAGGATAGACCCTAGGATCCCGGCACGTTCCAGTGCTTCTTACATCAGAGAGTTACTTTTCATTTTAAAAAAATAGCTCTTAATATGATACAGGGCTCCAGCAGAAACTGAACTCGTGCTGATGAGACACAAAGTGGCTGTCACTAGAGCTGTCCACTGTGAACTGGTATTGAACTTGAACCCATGGTATGGTATAGGAACAATGTATTGTTAGAAGTGAGTGATGCATTTGGAACTAGACTCAAGCAGATCCAGAAGGTATGAGCATATATCATGAAGAGGTGTCCCAGGGCCTCATGTCACCTGCCTTATTGGCATTGATGTTCTTTCTCAACACATACCTTATGCCTGCAAGGGGGTTTCCCCATAGAGGAGGAAGGAATTGAAACTGATATGAATTGGCCTGATACATGTTGGGTGGATTTTATGATCAATAGTGAAGGAAATCTGTCCTGTGGGCACATCCGTTTACTTGTCATTCCCTTTATTTGGACAAAAGGGTAGCTTGAGGTACACATATATATGGAGCACTGGTTAAGTTAATGGCCTCATGGACCTGGAAGAGATAAGTCTAGACAAATTAGATATGATGTGTGTGGGCAAGAGCTATGTGGATGGGCCTAGAGGAGTGACCATGGAGAGTCTTTTTGCCTATAAGACAGTAAATGCTTCTGAGGAAACTCTAATACCAGGTAGATAGCATCCCTTGTCCAGGAGATACAAGCCACTTTCTCAGCTACCCCATGGTATGTGCAATAGACCCTGAACCAGATGACCTTGGGGACAGTGGTAGAAACTATTCATGGACCCAAAGATATGGCCTCCTTCTCCAAAGCAAATATAGCTATCATCACTGTGGACTCTTAAATGCCAGCGTGACAATGAGCTACTAAGTTGACCATTCATCCATGATACTACTGAACCCACACAACTGTTTGTTGGTGACTTAATTAGCAAGCAGTGCTGATGGATCCCTACTACCTCAGAGGGACAACACGTTTTCCTAAGTGGGTGACATATAGTCTGTGTTTGCCTTTCCTCTCACAGTGTCACTGCTGGCGCTGACATCTGACAGTTTATAGAATGCCTGACCCAATGGTATGGTGCCCCTATAATGTTGTTCCTACCAGGGAAACCCTGCTGCTATTTCAAGGAATGCACTACAGTGAGCTTACAATCACTGCAGGCTCTGTCACCTAACAGAAGAGTGGAATAATATTAATCATGAATAGTTAATTAAAGTACCCACATTGTGGGGAGGGGAAGCAAAAGCAAAAAAAAAAAAAAAATACCCTGAGAATTGGATTACTCTAGAATGAAGTAATATGCTAAACTAACAGCTGAAACAGGGTGCTGTATCTATCACAGCTAAAATTTACAATTCTGGGCTAAGTGGGCCCTTTTTATAGTCAACCACAATGCCCCCTTTGCTGTTTCTGTGCTTCCTTTCTCTATAGTCTTAGACTTTGCTAATTAGAATCCTGATTCTTGTGGCAGAGGTGGATTGGGGGAGGCAAGTCTGTCAGGTGACCCAATAAGAGTCCCACTTATGTGGAAGCTGGGATTGTTTCCTCATGTGACCTGATTACTACGTGTGCTTCCAAACCATGGGGGAGCAAAGATGGAAAGAGATTATTCATGGCTATAAGAATACAGGACTGCAAAAAGACAGGACTGAGCAATGAGATAAAGGTCTGGAGCTCATAGCTGCTCCATGCCCAGAAAAAAAATTAGGAAATTGCAGCAACCGAAACTCTGCAAGATCCAAGAAACAGAGAGCTCGATCCCTCGGGATTAAGATCTACAGTTTCCTCACCAGGCAGTAACTCAGAGCAGCTGAGGTGTTGGTAGGGCACTTGGTAGGAGATGGATGACGAATATTCTTTAAGTCGCCAAGGATCAGCTGGAGCATGGACTATTAGAGCTTGATTTGCTAACGCTCTTTGAGTCTTTAGGGAATTGCAACTGGCCATCAATTTGAAGTATTGTTCTTTATAATATATGAGTAATCTTATTTCATATGCTATTGGGTTATAAAAAAATGGCTCAAGTGCATCTGAGATGTACAAAGATGCAGTATGTGTTTTTCCATATACTAGCTCAATCCAAATGTGTCTGGATGGTTTTGGCCAATTGATTAATGGTGAACCTCATATATTGCCACCATGAACACCTCATCTTTTCAGGTCACTAGCTGTATCTGCCTTCTGGAAGATAACTACCAGGCTCAGCTTGGCATGGTAGGATCCTCAGTAGTTCTGTCTTACCAGACCAGATCCAGGAAAAGTTCTGTCACCACTGGGATATTGCATTCCCAGTGGCTACCCAGAACAGACAGAATATACCACTGGAAGTGGGGGAAGTTAATGTCCTTTAGGATGCATCTTTACTGATGGAATGTAGAATGTGGTATGGAACTGGCATACAAACATTTCTTTGTCCATTGAACATTTTCTAAGGTGCAGAGGTTCCATATGATTTCTCTTGGTTTGTTCCACATGGCCAAATAACCAGCCATGTTTGTTCATGAAGTTCTGCCCAGATCAGTAATATGTTTGCTTTCTTCTTTTTCTGTGTGTGTGTGTGTGTGTGTGTGTGTGTTTTAACCTCCTTGTGGTCCTGAAATGCTTTATTTCAGACCCTGTAAGAAAAAGTGTACTGAGACACAAAGCCAAATTTTTGAACTCAGATGTTCCTGTTCACTGAGTGACAAATATACTTAAAAATAAATAGCCCTAGACTTCCTGATCGAAAAGACTACTAATTTTGGTGCATCCATTGATCTTCTCTCCTTATCTCTTTTTAATGTACTAATATAATTTTTTTAAAAAATGGCTGCCCTCTTACTCTTCTGCATTCTGTTTTACAGCTTCTTAACTGCTCTGTATTTGAACTTTTCTGTAGGCAGAGTGATGGTATATGTTGGTTGGTTGGCTCTTTCAGGATATGCCCCTTCTCAGTACCATGCCTGTGTATTTTTCTGTATAAATCATGGCATGTTGGAGGTGTTCAGTAAATGTAAAACAACTGCTCATGGACACCTCACATTTTTATCTCAAGTCACTCCACAACAGAGTGCTAAGTTTTTCTGGTTATATTTTGCCAAACTTCTTGGGCAAGGAGGTTGTATGTATTCCACAGTGAAGTCATGGCTTCATACCCACCTCTTCCTCTTGATGATGCCTCACTTCTTATTTCTCATTAGGATTTAGACAACATAAATTACAAACCCATAGCATATGTATTAGTATTAAACAAGAAAAATTAGCTAATATTTCTATTACCACTATATATTGGAATCATAGCCTGAATCCTTACCAATTAAACTGATATATCCCACTTGCTATCTGTCTCAGTTTTGACCTCATTGCTGGGATTATTCTGCAGTGGGAGGGCTCAAGCTACTGGAATTATGTGCTTGGGCTGTCATTGGTTTGTCCTTAATTTAAACAAATCCTGCCAATTGAGGGCTAAGAAGTTGATGCCACAAAATTTCAACCTGCCTATGCCTCCCCATTGGTCACGAACTCCTGTTACTGTCCTTGTCTATTGATTAATTATTTCTTGTCCCATGCATGTTGTGTCATAAATGTTAATTTTGGGAAAGTTGAGAATTAGATTAATGTTCACAAAGCTTATAAAGATCTCAGGTGAAAGGTGCAGCAATACCACACCGCATACCCATCAAAACACAGCCAAGGCAGGTACCACATTTGAAAGCAAGTCACATTTTTGCACACCATCCATTATTCTTGCATTTAAGAGGATGTTAAATATTCTACATCTTTCTTATTTATTAGCTTGGTATTTAGCATGTTTCATAGCCAAAATAGCAAAGAAGGTTCATTATTGCTGGTTAAATTAGCCTCATGAAAATGTTGTTGGTAAAAGGTTACAGAAATGAATAGAAGATCTAACCAAGCAGCATATTAGATCATTTATCACTATAATTTAAAAAAGGTATTCTGATGATTTAAATTAACTTGGCTAAAGGGTAGAGATTTAGATAAAAGTTAATAATTAAAACCTAAATGGCATGATTAGCTCTTCCTTTTGATTTAGAAGATACAACACATATGCATACGGATTTGATATTGGCCTCTTGGGAGAAACTAATGCCAAAAAAATTCATACCTGGAAATATAATTTCTATCTTATTCAAGCTCTGAATTTTATAGCTACACTATATCTAAACTGGTTTACCTGGGTGTCTCATGTTTCCTTCAGACTTAGGCAAATAGCCTTTTTCTTGTTCTTTGTTTTTGGATAATTGAAGCCCAGAACTTAGCTGTATTTATATTGAGGTTTGGGTATTTGCTTTTTAATGGAATGTTCTTTCCACATATTTACAATAGTAAGACTTCCATCTTTGTGAGGAGTTCATCAAGGAATTTAACCTTTTCCCCCTCTTTTGACATGTTTTTAATGTTCGCATAGCCTACTCTAAACATATTTTCCTTTGTATAAATTAATTTTTAAAAATTCCAATAGTAACCTCATAGAACTTTCCTGATAAGGGTATTAAAGCAATTTCTTATTAGCTTGACAGCCCTGGTTAAGGGATCTGTGTCTGCAGATTTGAGATAAAAGTAAAGAATTTCTGTTTCCCCCCCACACAGAAACCAGGAGCTGAAAGAGCTTGGGGAGCTCTCCCCACACTGGGACAATCTCCGGAAAAAAGTCCTTACTCACTGTGATCAAATGGTGAATATGTACCAAGACATTCTGACAGAGCTTAGCAAGGACGCAGGTATGAAAGCAGCAACTCGACTCACTCAAACTCACTTGCATTCTACCTATGTCAAAGGAAAACAATAGTGGGCATTATTGTTATGGAGATGAAAGCACCATAGATTTTTAAAAAATCTTATTTCTTAATATATTAGCACTTTAACACATACTGTTCTGTCCACAGTATTACCATAAGAATATGTGGAATAATTTATTTCAAAAAATAGAATTTCTGAGAAGAAAACTTGTAAACCCAGGACATGTTTTTCTTCCTCAAGTTTTTCTATTCAATATGTCTTTTCAACACACAAAACCTTTTTATTTATTTATGTACTAATAATGTTCCATTTTTTCCCTTCCTAGGGTCTTCTTTCAAATCAAGCAGCAGCAAAGGAGAGAAAACATTAGAATTTGTTCCAGTGAATCTACACCTGCAAAGAATGCATGTACACAGCCCTCACTTGAAAGGTACGATGGATCATTATTTTAAAAATGGCAAATTATGTTACAGCGTGTCCTCCTTTAAAAAGCAGGACTGTTGGTAGACCCAAATCAAAAGCGTAAGAGTTATGTACAGAGGAAGATGCAACTATTACAGCCGGTAATGACTCAATGCTGTATTTCTGGGCAACGCTTTGTGAATGTAGCACCTGAGTTGAATTAGAGATAAAAGTGCACAGAATATCAGCTTCTTGAAAAATAATATTTATGGTAGAAAATAGCTAACTGTTGTGCTACTGCTTGAACTAGGAAAGGAAGAATGGAAGACAGAAAACCAAACTTGTTTTCCATGTGCTTTTAAGAAACCAAAAGGCAAAAGTAGACAAACAAGCAGTCAGTCCCTCTGACTTAATGGTGACCACCCACAGAAACACTTTGTCCCATGGGAATGGGTGTGGTGCTACTAAGATTAAATAGGTAGAAGGTGGCATTTTGATGTGCTCAGTTTGTCAAGGAGAAATATTAGGTTTTTATTTGTTATTATTAATTATACATGACAGTAAAATGTGTTTTGACATACTATACATATATACAGTAACTACCCTACTTCATCCACCCCACCTTATTGTGAGTTTGCATCTATATATCAGAAAGAAGATTTGAACATTTGGCCTTTGGTTTTTAGGGATTGGCTTATTTTACTTAGCATGATATTCTTTAGTTCCATCCATTTACCAGCAAATGCCATAATTTCATTCTTCTTTATGACTGAGTAATATCCCATTGTGTATATATACCACATTTTCTTCATTCAGCTACAAAACCTAGGATAGTTTCACAGTTTAGCTGTTGTGAATTGAGATTCTATAAACATTGATGTGGCTGTGTCACTGTAGTATGCTGATTTTAAATCCTTTGAGTATAAACTGTAGAGTGGGATAACTGGGTCAAATGGTGGTTCCATTCCAAGTTTTATGAGGAATCTCCATACTGCTTTCCATAGCGGTGGCACTAATTTCTAGTTCTACCAGCAATGTGTGCATGTACCTTTTCCCCCACATCCTCATCAATATTTATTGTTAGTTGTATTCTTGATATTTGCCATTCTGAGAGGAGTGAGATAGAATCTCAGTGTAGTTTTAATTTGCATTTCTCTAACTGCTAGAGATGTTGAACATGTTTTCATATATTTGTTGACCTATTGTATTTCTTCTTCTGGGAAGAGTCTATTCAGTTTTTTTTTTGCCCATTTATTGATTGGGTTATTTGGTTTTTTAGTGTTAAGGTTTTTGAGTTCTTTATATACCTTGGAGATTAATGCTCTACCTGAGGTGCAAGTAGCAAAGATTTCCTCCCATTCTATAGTCTCTCTCTTCACATTGATGATTGTTTCCTTTGCTGTGAAGAAGCTGTTTGGTTTGATTCCATCCCATTTGTTAATTCTTGATTTTACTTCTTGTGTTTTAGGAGTCCTGTTAAGGAAGTGAGTTTTTAAGCTGACATGATATAGATACGGGCCTAATTTTTCTTTCCATTAGGCTCAGGGTCTCTGGTCTCTTGCCTAAGACCCTGATCCACTTTGAGTTGAGGTTTGTGCAGGGTGAGAGAGAGGGATTTAATTTCATTTTGCTACATATGGATTTCCCAGTTTTCCCAATACCATTTGTTGAAGAGGCTGTCTTTTATCCATTGTATATTTTTGGCACCTATGTCTAGGATGAGATGACTGTATTTATGTGGGTTTGTCTCTGTGTCTTCATAATTATACCTGAGTATGATCCAGAGTGACTGATATGGTATCATATTTGTTACCATTCTACGTATTCTCTTGCTATTCCTTAATGACAATGATTTAAAAATTATTCTCATACCACCCTTGAACGTATTGCTCTATCAACATTCTGTGTATTTATTTCTAGGATGACTGACTGTTCTGGTTTTCCAGCAAATGCCCCAGAGTATTATGTCTTGTGTCTTAGCATCACTGTTAATGGTGCCTCCCCGGCCTTACCCTTACCTTCTCAAAAGTTTCTCTTTTTTGAATAATAAATGCCATGACCTGCACAGCTGAATCACAAAGACCAGCAAGGGGCCATGGGGGATTAAGAAAGACACACCAACATTTACAAAGAGAAAGGTGGGACCCGTTGGGAGACCTACCTCTGATGGAGGAACAGTAACCCAGAACTAGCACAGCACATTTATTACATAGGTTTTTATCATCAAAAGGTTTTCTGTGGGAAAGTTTCTGCAAAGCAGGCAGGCTTGAGGGTCACAGAACTTGCAAGCTATTATGGTTATCTTGTTATGCTCAGAAATCCTGTATCTCTGGCACCTGGTATCTGAGTTCAAGTTCAAAGCTGATATAATTCCATGCCCTTGTACAGAACTTCCTTGGGCAGAGCATCACCATAGCTTCTGGGCAATCTTACCGTGCACCTTTGCACAGAAAGTTCCCAAAGCGACATTCAGCCACAGCTCCGAGGCAGTCTAAGACCTTGATCCAAGACATCACTCTTCACAGCTGTGGATATTTTAATAGTGTCCATCTTTGAGGGGGCCTTAAGTTACTTTGGGTAATCACATCTTTCATGATAAGTCTATTAACTCACATACAAGCACGTATGCATCGAGGCATCTAAAAACACATCTGACAACCAGTTTTGTAACCATTGTCCACAATAGAATGGTTATAATTTAGAAGTTAAAATGAGTGAATCCTTGTGCATTATTGGTAGAAATGTGAATTTGTGTAGACTTGGTAAGTATGGGGGTTTCTCCAAAAATTAAAAACAGAATTTCCACATGAAATGATGGAGCAATTCTGTTGTTGGGTTTATCTCTGAAGAATTGCTTTCGGGATCTCAAGGAGAGATCTGCACCATCATTGTTCTCAATGATCAAGGAATGGAAGTCACTTAAATGTCCATTGGGGAACAAATGGAGAAAGAAATTGTACCACATATAAATAATGGTATATTTTTAGCCTCAAAAAGGAAGGAAATCCTTCCATTTGCCAACAAGTTGGATGAACCTTAGGGGCATGAAACTAAGAGAAAAAAAAACAGATTCTGAAGGATGAATACCACATCAGACTGCTTTTATAAGAAAGATAAGGGTCAGAATTAACATAAGCAAAGAGTAAAATCATGTTTTCTGGGAACTTGAAGAGGGGGAAATAAGGAAGTATTAGTGAAGGGTAAAAAGTTCTAGAGATACAGGGTTTATGGGCCCCAGAGGTCTACTGTACAGTACAGTGTCCCTAGTAATGAACACTGTATTATATATTTAAAACTTTGATATGAAGGTAGATTTTATACAGTGTCCTTATCATATACAGAAATATGTAAAAATAATAAAGAGGGTAGGAGGAAACTTTTGGGGCTGATGAATAGTTTTATGGCACAACCCATGGTGGTGGGTTCAAAGGTGGATACTTATTTTCAAACTCATCAAGTTACATACATTAAGTATGTATAGGTTTCTGTATGTCAATAAATCCTCAATAAAGTGTTTTTAAATATTTATATTTTTAGTTGTATTTGGACACAATACCTTTATTTTATTTGTTAATTTTTATGTGGTGCTGAGAATTGAACCCAGGGCTTTGCATGTGCTAGGTGAATGCTCTACTGCTGAACCAAAACCCCAGCCCCAATAAAGTGGTTTTAGAAAGAGTTAAAATAAAAATCTCTGTTCCATTTTAGAATCTTCTATAGCTTTATAATCAGAAAAGTAAGTGTTTGGTCTTTTAGTTTGAACATATGAGTCACACATACACAACCAGCTTATGTACAAGCTTAAGTATGGTTATAGTTACTCTGATGTATAATTTTATTTGATAAACTTTATCAATAGCTAAAATTATAATCTAGGTCTTTTCCACAACATATTATATAAAATGAAAGAACTGAAATAAAATCAATTGGATTGGCCAAGGAATTTAGGAACTCTACACTAGTCACTATCAATAGTTTGAATATCACAATATGGAATGGTCTTAAAAAAATCACCAAAACTCAAAGTATCAACAAGTAATAAAGAAACTAAATCACTTAAGAGCTCTCAACCAACATGCTTTTCCTAATGGCCAGTGTGAAAAGACATTTTTGGTATTAGTAAAAAGTCGATGTATCTGGGAGCACGACAGGCCTGGGTGTGAGTTACATTTCTACCACTCCTTATGTATGGCCCAAGTCTGTGGTTGAATCCTTCTAAGCCATGCTCCCCTCATTTCTGATGAAGGGTGAGATACAGTATGTCAAACATCTGAAATGATACAATAATAGCAGTTTTACTATACATCTGCCATTTGCCATCACTGTAACAAAATGGATCTGCTCGTTTTATTTGAACTACTATGACTAGAAAATAGTAATCAAGTAAGACCCTATTCAAAGGCAATAGAGTTTTGTACCAAGGAAAAAAAGCTGGGTTTAGAGAAAAGATTATTTAGAGAGGCATTCTGGAGAGTCATCATATGTGAGTACTTAATGACTGATGGAATAAGGTAATGAGAGAAGAGGTAATTCGGGTTATAGCCACTGATAGATGGCAGTGTCATCAAACCACAGAGACAATTTGGGGCCAAATTGATATGAATTCATATTTAATTATGCATTCAAATATTTGGTAATGATCCTTAATATACTTCCACCAAACAAAGAAAAATTGTTATTGAAGTGGTCTTTTACTTCTTGTTTCTTCTTTAAAAATGAAAGAACTGCATACCCTATCCTGTTTTTCATTATATGATCTGAAAAATAGATGAGAGTAAAATAGGATGAAAACAATAGGTTAGCTTCTGATTCTCTGATTTGAAAAGAAGAAACTGGGAACTACTATTTGGAAATGCAAACAGCAGTTTATCCTAAATATGTTGGTGTGGGATGTGTATAGGTTTCCTAGGGCTGCCAAAACAAAATACCACACACTGTGGCACTTACGAACACAAAATTGATCGTCTCACACTTTTAGAAGCTAAAAGTCTGAAATCAAAGTGTCAGCAGGGCCACCATTCCTTTGGG